ACTGCCGTAATAGAAAATCTACTTCATGTTTAGTTTAAACATATTTTATTTACTCAAAGTAAAATGGATTGGGCACAAGTAAACCATACTTATAAAGTCCGCTCCGAATAACAATAAATTACAATACAATATTAATATGATCATACAATAATTCAAAAGATACAATACTTTACGACTCAATTGAAAAAGATGAAACAGTAATATACTGAGTGCCAATGAAAACGCAACACTTGTAAATTTCAAATATTTTAAAATATATAAATATTTTTTTTAAAATGATTACCTATATCGGTTTGAAAATGAATCGTCAGACTTCTTTCGACAACTTTACGCTTGAATGATTTTAGAAAAAAAAGTTACGTGCTTGGTTACAGAAAAAGGGGGTGAGTCGAGTGCACCACTATTTTTCGCACGTGTGATTTTTTCATTGTGTGTTTTGGAAAGCCTCGCTTAAGAATTTAACTTTCCCATCCTTTTTTGTAAGCCACTGCAATAAACTAAGGCGTAGATGCCAAGACTTTTAGACTACCAGAGACATGAAGTTTGGGGCATGGTGCAAGGAGGCATTTCAAGTCGTGAAATTGCACGCAGAATGCAGTGTTCAGCCTCAACAATTACCAGACTTATCCAAAGATTCAACCAAACTGGGTCTTTGAATGATAGACCACGTCCCGGAAGACAAAAAACACATTTGTGTGCATAAAAAGAAATCTATGAGATAGAATTTTTAAATTAATTGTGAGAAGATAGATTTTATAATATGTTTTAAGAAAAGAAAAAGAAAAAATGGTCTCACCGAACTTGTTTTCTTGCTACAAGTAAAAATTAAAAATTTCCCTATCAGTCCAGTATAATTTTTTACTAAAAGAATTATCTTCCCTTAAACGGCTTAGTTGAAAAAAATGATTCTAAAAACACAAAATTTGATATTTGTTTAAATATTTTGAATAATACAGCAAATCACCTAGTTTTCTTTATATAAATAAAAGTCTAACAAAAAAATGGCAAATCTGTCTCCAAATTTACAGATTTGTGCAAATAACTAGACCGATTGTGTACTGCGATTGTACAATCCAAGATGGTGGTATACCATGAATCTACCTTAAAAACACAACTTATCGGTTGTCTTTTGAACAACACAGGCAAACATACGACACTAAAATGACTCTAGCAACCAACACCACTTCTCATGACATTGACGGGGCAGCCCCGTTATTCCGACGCCCCATTAGTCCGACACCCCATTGGTCCGACACCCCAATAGTCCGACACCCCATTTGTCCGACACTCCATTGGTCCGACACCCCATTTGTCCGACACGAATAATTGAACAACATTTTAAATTAATAATTTGTTTGTCAAGAGGATAATCCCAATAGTTTAAACTTATCCTCCTGAGAGTCCTCAAAATAATAATAATATATTCATAAAGTAATTACAATATTATAATTTTGCTTAATGTCCAATGGCAAATATTACATGCATGTTTAGGACGAGAAAAATTTAACAATCAATACAATAGGTAGCTCCTGTAAGAGATGTCATCCGAGATGAGAAAAGGTCAAAGAAACTTTGACTGCCACTGGACAATGAAAGTATTTTAATAAAGACAGCAATTTGCTTTGCAACATAATCAGACAAAAGGCCACCGACAGCCCCTCAAAGACTTGTTGCAATGGTTCTTAACCTGCAGAGAGCCTAGCACTCTCTCTACACGAGGCATTGCATATTACGTCATCATTCTGACATTTGTGGAAAATTATACAACCCGAACAATTAAACGGATGTCCAACTCTGGCAAGGGTTAACTGCCAGTCGGAAGAAAACCAAAGTAACCATATTTCTGTAAGTGAAAATAGTTGGATATATTTATAAAAAATGAGGAACATAATGCAAAAGACCTCATTTATCTCGGTTGGAAAAAACAAATTTTAATTTCCCTAAGACAAGCGTGGCAAAGTGATTTTCAGTAATTTTTTTACCCTTTTAACTCAATAACCGTATGAGCTACATAAAATCCGTTGACATTACCGAAAGGGATGATCCACCAAAATATGGATTGCGCATGCAGTACGGCGATTGAGCATGAGCGAAATCGTATATAAGACACGGATCGATAACGGTCTTTGAATATGGATATTTTCTTAAAAATATGCGTTTTCTGTGGAAAAAAGATTGTTTCAAAGACAATTTTAAGATGTACAAAACATTACATTTATAAGTCAAAATATTTCCGACTTTGTACGGTTTCATAGGAGTTGCGGCTAAATGAATTCAGACTCTTCCTTAAATTCTGGGTAGTTATTTGTTCGTCTAAAGTCTAGTGGCAAATATTTCATGTTATATTCAGTTCAAATTCATTCTAACAGCACATTTCATCTATTTTTATAGTTTCAACCTTAATAAAGTCTTTTTTGTATAGAAAAATTATCACCGATTGGACAATTTTACTATCGATGTTATAGACTTAAACTCGCCAATTTTCGGGTGAATTATCAACTCACAATTCAATTTAGCTCTCAGTTTCTTTTTTAGTTTTCGATCTTTAAGTTCGTGTACAGTATAGATGAATGGAAATAATAATGTTTGGAAACAATAGTCCCTCTTTATGGTAAAATAACACTTTTAACAGTGTTGACTACATCCGAGACCTAATCACATGACACTATTCTTTATGATGAAAGATTGCACTGTCGATGACATTTCTTTTTTAGTAGAATTTGTTCCCACATAGAACACATATTGTATTAGTTTACCAAAACTTTCAAGGTTCTCAATTTCTCATGGTACTACCAGATAGGTGGATTGGTCTTATCTGTTTCTGTATACTCATAAGAAAGAGTACTTAGTTCAAATACCACGTCAACAACGATTCTACGAAGGAGTGTCTGAATTTAAGGGGGATGGGCGTCGTTCATTTCTGTACTCTTTTATTTTTAAGGCATTTTCTCTATTCTTCATACTTTTTGCCCATTATTCTCTAATCTTTATATTTTAGCACATCATTATTCTCTATTCACTATTTTTGGTTCATTTTTCACTATTCTTTATATTTTGACCATTATTTTCTGTTCTGTAAACCACAATCCACACCCTCATGAAGTAGATTTTCTATTACGGCAGTTATTAACCTTTGTCGGACTATTGGGGCGCCGGACCAGTGGGGTGTCAGACTAATGGGAGACGGATTTATATAAGTTTTTCCAAACTTGTTTCCGAATCCCATATTTGAACTTTATGTAACATTGTATTGTAATATCTTATTCTTGTAATTTTTCATTAATAAATACTGTTTAAACTAATGGGATGTCGGACCAATGGGGTGTCGGACTAATGGGGTGTCGGACCAATAGGGTGTCGGACTAATGGAGTGTCGAAATATCGGGGCGACCCCGTTTTTTACACATTGTGACTTGGATGGAAAGTTGTCTCATTGGCACTCATACCACACTCTTCTTATTTCTATTTACAGTCGTATGCGCAATACATCCGGAGGTATGCTTTTGACGTAGAGTTGAACAGTGTTAATTGTTAATACCGTGCTAGCGGTGCTGCTTGCTTAGCGTAAATGAATTGACTTTACCATTAGATTAAAAACATTTTTGAAGAAACATTCCCTTTGGTATCTGCAATTTGAGCGAGACCGGATGTGTCCGCAAGTTAAGTGTCTTTTGTTATGCTTGCATCACCAGGCAAGAGAATTCAGATGATCGGATCTTCTATTTTACTGTACAATCTGACATACAAAATATTTAATTTCAAATATATCATGTTTTATTGGAATGTGGTAATTGTAGATACAAATTTAATGTGTATAAAAATTCTTAAATGATTCGCTTAAGGTTTTGTGTCGCCTTCTGATCACGAGTTCTCTTCAAACGTACTGCATTTTTTCTTTACCTTTACCACAGTATCATTCAGTAGTACATATTTCTATTTTCTGATAATTTTGTACACCTGTTGATAATACAATGGGTATTTTCACAAATTTTGCATTTGAATTGTATTTAATGGCTTTCACGATTCGATACCAGATATTTTACGATCCGACAACGCATATTTCGCGATCCGATATTAATGTTTGGCCACCGTTACTTATACTTTCACGATAACTTTTCTCGATATACAGAATGCTAGCCGTAATATTGCTACAATTACCAATTTAAAATCATCAAATTAAAAAAAATCTAGTTATGTACTCTCAGTCATGGATGTGCCAACCGTTCGCCTGCATATAAGGTATATGTCTCTCATTTGGTATGCTATTGGAAAGTTGTATGGACACTATCACTAGTTGAACGGTTTTGGAATATCGTTTTCTGAAATTATCTGTTGATAATTATTAAGTCAGTAAGGTTCAAATTCTTTCAGACAAATCTGACAATAGATTGATCTTGCTATTATTTTAGGTCCCTATTGTTCATATATCTCTTCATGTTTGTCTGCACTTATACATCCTTAACTTTGAAATATAATTTTGATCGTTTCTAATTAAGGTAAATCCATAAAAGCACTTTGAATTCATACAATTTATAAAGTGTGCATTTTTAACAGTCAGAAATGTTACAATTGTCATAATCCCGTTCTCTTTTCCCAATTGTGATTCTCCGAATAAGACTTATCGCCAGATTTGTATTTATCATAATGTTACAATGTACTAAATAAAGTTACAAGGGCGCAGCCATTAGTGAATTGAACATGACATAAAAATAGCTGGCTCTTGGTTGTTATTTCATTTATATATTTTTCTCCTGGGAAGCATTATGAATAAAGTTTCATGCAAGCACAAATTTGTCCTTAAAAGTATAATATTAATAAGGCCGGAGATTTTTTTATTTTGATAAAACTTTTAGGAAATTTTCTGCTAAATCGTAAGATATGGTACACCACATATGCACATTACTCTTTCTGGTGTATGTATTATTGGCTCATTTATTCTTAGAGAATAGTAATACCATAGTATGCATCACGAAACATGTGTTCTAATATTTTCAGGAATTGAGATTGCAGAAAAAATAGATCCATCAACAGCTGACAAATTTGGTGACTCTACAAAGATAAAATCACATGGTGAATGCTCGTATTCCAGTGATAACAATACCCCACAAGGTATGAACATTTGTTAAGCAAACCTAATTCGTGAAAAGCGAAATAATCCATTCCTTCTTATGGTACTTTTCTTTACTTATATTATTATCTACGATGGATTCACATTTTTATCTTCCATTACTATGATAGGACATAAATTAAATAAATGAAAACATTAGTATACTAATGTTTCTCATCGATATATACCCAGCTTTCCTTTAATCGTTTTTTATTTTATTCTGCTTTTCTAGATTTAAATGAATACAGAATGGTAGTTTTTGGTTTACCATCCTCTGGCGTGAGCTCAACTGCCAACACTATAGTAGGAGAAAAATTGTTTCAGGAAGGCGTTACGTTCGATGGCACTACAAAGGAATGTCAGATGGAAAGTCGTACACGATTTAATTATGTATTAAAGGTAGTGGATACACAGGGATTTGTATTCGACAAAAAAATGAGGACTGCAGAAGAACTATTCCCAGGGCTTAAAAAAAGTATTATGCTTTTTCCTCCAGGACCACATATTGTCCTGGTTGTACTCCCGTTGGATAGAACTAACGAAGATTTACATGATATGATTCATTGTCTTAAGTGCTTTGAGAATTTGTCTAGGCATGTCGTTGTCATATTAACAAAAATTGATAAGATTGAAAAAGATAGGGCGGGATGGAAACAAGAAATCTTTGAAAGTGAAAATTTGAGTGAACTGTTGGAATTTTGTGGTAAACGTGTTGTATTTTTTGATAATACAAGCAATAGCGAACAACAAGTCAAAGAACTGTTAGATGTAGTGATTAAAGTTGTTGAAAGAAATATGTCAGAATGCTTTAACACTGATTATTTTTCGAAAAAAACTAACAAAAAACTTGATCTAGTTCTTCAAGACCAAGAGAAAAATAGAAAATCAGTTTATGAACGCATACAGAATTTTGCGAACTGGAAATAAAACTTTGAACTGCTTCAAATTAGATTAGTTCCCTCTCTGCTAGTATTATATCATTAGAAACTATCAATTGAAATTAATACAATATTTTGATATTTAGTCAGTATATGTCATTATTAAATACATAACTTTATGCGTTCTAACTTGAAAATTAGTTTTTCCTGACTGCATCCTGCAACTATCTGGGATTATTATTCTAAGTTTCCAGTCCCGTAAGTATAAAAGAGGGACCAAAGATACCAGACAGTCAAACGCATAGATCGAAAATAAACTGACAACGCCATGGCTAAAAATAAACAGACAAAAAGACAAATAATAGTACAAAAGACACAACATAGAAAACTAAAGACTAAGCAACACGAACCCCTCTAAAAACTGGGGGTGATCTCAGGTGCTCCGGAAGGATAAGCAAATCCTGCTCCACATGTGGCACCCGTCGTGTTGCTTATGTTATTACAAATCCGGTAAATAGTCTAATTCGGTAGGTCACATTCGTGAAAAGGGAAGGGTATTGTAGTTACGACATAAGAAACATATCCGATATCATCTGTGAAACGGTTATTCCATAACGGTCAACCAACTCGTGATGGCGTCAGTAAAATTTACGAAGGGATGATTTCAACTTCACCATTTGGAACTCTTGGTTTAACAGCTTCTTTGTGAGCAGCAATCCTCTATCAAGGAAATCATGATAGAAAATACAAGCCCGAGAATACCGTATCAATTGGGTGATATATACTCCGTATGCAGGCGCTGCTGGAATCTTGCTACATAACAATGGAAAGTTCCCAATTGGGAAGCTGAAATCATCTCTTTTGTCGTAAAGTTTTGTTTTCAACCGTCCCTCATTAACAATTTCTAGATGTAAGTAAAGATATGATGCAGATTTAACTGTTTCTGTAGTATCCTTTATACCTAGCTCGATGGGATAGATTCGTTCCACATAGTTACCAAATTTTGTATTATTTAGTGAGAAACCTCATCTATATAGCGGAACATAAAGTTAAAGGATATTGCTAACTTCTTATCTTTTTTCCTAAGAAGTTTCTGTATGAAGTCAGCCTCTTAATAATAAAGAAACTAGTCGTCAAGAAGAGAGGCACAATTGGTTCCCATTGGAATGCCGGCAGTTTGTTGAAAAACACGTCCTCCAAACGTAACAAATATGTTGTCAATCAAGAAATCAAGCATCTTGATAATGTCAGTTTCAGAAATTTTTTTGTTTGAATCAGAGTGATTCTTTTCAAAGTAGGATTTATCTCTCCCCAAGACAAGATACTTGTATCTACGTTCGCCATTCTTTTTAATGAAACAAAGTAATACCAACTCTTTCAATTTGTCTTTTAGTTTGGAATGGGGAATACTTGTGTAAAGTGTAGAAAAGTCAAATGTTTTAATACTATTGCAGGATGAGAGAGTCTTAGATTGTATGTACTCTAAAAGATCTTTATAATAGTATCAGCAACCATACACAATTATCTTATGTTACTATGCTAGTTTTCAAAGGCAAATGTACGATATGATGACAAGTCTGTCGGATGTGCCATATGGCGAAAAATTTTGGTTAACGCGACAACTAAGTATATAAAAAATTATATATAATCATAAAATTGAATTCCTCCCATTTGTGCCCAGAATGGAAAAGGCGGATTATGCCAGCATCATAGGACACACATAAGCAAACGGATGATAACCAATATTTTTTGCCATTGCTTCCTTGCATCCCAAACAAAATACTCAGGTTTTAATATTTTGACACACACAATTCTTGAAGTAATATGGTATAAGCCAACTGGAATCCCTTGAGGCATGCTAAATATTGATACAATCGTTTCTTTGTAACTAAATCATATTGCAAAATTTTGAATAACTTTTAAATTACCTGCTTTCTTTAGTTTTCGGCCAAATTCTTTTAAAAACATGATGATTTCAATCTACCCATTTCGTTAAAAGTCAAATTTTAAGCATTTTCCCTTAGAAATACAAAACATATTTGTAAATATCCGCTAAAACACATTAGTTTTCGATCCATGACGGAAAAAGGCTGGATTATGCGCAAATTTAATATAATTTATAGGTTCAATCTTTAACTCAGGGAAGTAATTTAATCAAAAGGGCCAAAGTCACGTAGTGCAAATCATATGAATAAAGTACCTTTGATTTTGTCATATGTGGAGATTATGATATAGCCAATGAGACATCCACCAAACATAAATGACAAAACCTAATCTAGTGATCACTATATTGTGTACAACAATAGACACGTTGCCAAACAATATGTAGCACAAGACAACCAGTAGCGATGTTCCTGATTGCGACCATGTACAAGGATATGTGATGGGCATATAATACGTTATATTATATCATAAACCTTGATCTCTTTAAAAACTGAATTACTGGATTAACAAAGAACAACAAATTAAATAAAAAGGTTATTTTTGTTTTTACTGTAAATATAAAAAAGAAGATGTGGTATGATTAACAATGACACTGCTCTGTACAAGAGACCAGTTAACACGGAAATTAACAACTATATGTCCCCGTATGGCCTTCAACAATGCACAAAGCCCATACTGCATAGTCAGCTATAAAAAGCCCCTAAATAATAAAAATATAACAATTCATCCTAGAACTTATCCTGACAGTTCTACCCTAGATTAGTTTTAGAAACTTCTACCTAGAACTGACCAAAGATTTGGCCAGTTCTACGACTACACTCTAAAAATTGTGTTTAGTCCCTGAACACTTTGTGTTACATGTTATACCTAAATATTTTTAAGATAATGTTGAAATCCTATACACATAAAATGGGCACATGTTCTTTAGCTATATATGTTTATCTTCAAAACATGATAGAGGATTAATGTGAAGGATTAAAACATGTATATTATATCATATCTATCAAATCTATAATTCCGCAATAACCTTGAGGCCAAAACATATCGTTTTACACAAAGAAGCAGTGTGGTCAGCCAATATCACATTAAAGAGTTCCAACGAACAAGAAGCCAAAATATCATTGTAAGTATTTATTATTGTGTTTAGTTATTTCTGCCCAAGTTTGAATACAGTAGCATCTATTTCACAAAAAAGTTGAATTAGTTATTTTATACTGAGGGTAAATATATTCTTGAAAGTTAAATATAAGCTGTCAATTTAGGTCCAGCCAAAACATGGTATATGTTACCTCTGTTTGTTTGGGTATAAGTAAGAGGTATAATTCTTATTACACTTGTTAATATCGTGGCTGCTGTAAACATAAATTGTACTCGTGAAAGTAATGTCAGTGAAAAGTGTGATGGATTGAAAAACTTACCATTATTTATTTTAACTCCATTATCAGATGAAGTTACAGATCATTTGATTATTCTATTTCAGTATTTATTCTGCTACTCTGTTAGCAAACCTTCTCCTGATTTTGGGAATGATTTTATGTAAAGTGTAAAGAGTCAAAATTATTCGTTTTGATCAGTTAATCTATGCAATGGAAAGTTTAATGAAGCAGAATTTGTGTTCAGGTAAGCGAAAAACGGGGTGAATCAATCATTTATCTCGTCCAAGCCTAAACATGACGTATTTCGACTCCAATGAGACTTTAAAAAAAACACAGTGTCTTGCATGTTTTGAAATGTATAGCAAAAAAACCTGACAAATTCCATCCAAAATTTTGAAAGGAACTCCAAGAAATGCGAAAGTAAACATTCTTGCAGCGGTGCACTAGAAAGAAGGAGAAATTCACAATAATTGTTTGCGAAAATAGATCGGAGTCATTAAATTTGACATCCTACTTTATTTATATTTTGAGTGCATACAAAATATGTATGATTATATATTTTATGTTATTATTTTTAGTTCACGAGATGAGTTTGAAAGATACTCTATACTCGAAGACGTCTACGAGTGGCTTGTTCTTCAGAAGATAAGCATTGAAATATGCAATGTTACCAAATATAACTAAATCATTTTTCTTATGTTGCTTTAGTAGCATGCATGGCTGATTTTATGAAATCCTATTCAATTAATTTCTTCTAATTGCTACTCCTAAAGCCATAATCATTTAAAGGAGTTTGACCAAACTTGTACGCAGTGTCTTATCCAGGATGCATTACATTCAATGCACCACCATTTAGAAGTGCAAGCATACCAAGAATATAAAGCTTCTCCCTATATATACGTTTCAAAGTATTAGTTTTCTCGTTTGAATTTTGAATTGTTTTACATTGTCATTTCGGGGTCTTTTATAGCTGACTATAAGGTATGGGTTTTGGTCATTGTTGAAGGCCGTACGGTGACTTAAAGTTGTTAATTTCTGTGTCATTTTGGTCTCTTTTGGAGAGTTGTCTCATTGGCAATCATAGCTCATCTTCTTTTTTTATATATGATACTTTTTTTTATTTCTAAATCATTTTCAAAGTTATATACCTGCACCTTAACCATTTCGTAACCCAATTTTCATACCCTTACAAAACTCATTTCGTACTCTAACCATCTCGTACTTTGACCATTTCGTATCTCGTGGAATATTTACTAGTATATTTATACTATTTCGTACCTCATGGAATATTCATATATATGTCATTTCGTACCTCGCGGAATATTTATATGTATGCCATTTTGTACCTCGTGGAATGTTTGCATCTTTGTCATTTCGTACTTCGTAGAAAATTTAAATGTATGGCATTCCTTACCTCATGGAATATTTATATGTATGCCATTTCGTACCCCTTGGAATATTTACATGTATGCAATTTCATACCTCATGGAATGTATTTTATGTACGCTGTTTCGTACCTCGTGGACTATTAATATGTACGTTTTGGAAGATTTATATGAATGCCATTTTGTACCTTATGGAATATTTATGTGTTATCCATTTGGTACTCAATTGAATATTTCTTTGTATATATGCCATTTCGCTAGTCGCTTTTTGTTTCCTATTTCGTACCTCATGGAAGACTTATTTGTTTTCTTCCAAACAGAAGATCTAAAATTGAGAATGGAAACGGGGAATGTATATGTATACCATTTCGTACAATATCTCTCTTTAATTGGTCACATAAGGTACAAATTCATATGCAAACATTCTTATTCATGACTTACTTCTATGCCTAATATAACAAAAATATGTGTATATGGTAATCTG